GGAACATGAAATTTATGCAAGCATACGTTATGGTAATCTATATGAATGAAGCAGACGGAACACCTGCATTTGGAAAGGCTTTGTGATCTAATTAGTAGGTTAGTACTACCCTCCAAAGATTGATTGTCAGTGTGTCATACCTGCGATGGCCAGTCATGGCTTTCATTAGTGAGAGGGTCACAAACATACATGGAAATCTTGTAGCTTGGTTGGGCAAACAGAGAATACCAACCTCGCCCTGTGGTCCTTACCTCAAAGAGCTGTTCTAGTGGAATCAAGGCTTTTTCTCACACAGTTGGAAAGGAATTGCCTAAGGAACCAAATTCTGTGTTGTCTGACAGAACAGATGTCAGTTTCTATCAGCCAAGCATCACCAGATGATCAGACCTTAAAACAGACTTCTGGTCATTGTTGTCACATTATGGCTGACTGGCCATAATAGGTGCAGAATCAGAGCCAAACTTGGCAAAGTACAAGAAATAAAACAGATTGGAAGAATAAAAAGAGAAGTTAAAGTTCCATTGTTGCTTGGAACTTGCCTCAGGGACCAAGGAAAGATGCTGGGAGGGGACGGTCCATGAGGTGCAGTTCTGGGCAGGGTGGCATCTTTGTCCTCGGAAGGAGATCCACTTGGACTTCTGTGGAGAACTTCAAAGCTATGCAGTGAAAGTTTTCATGAGATACAATCAGGAATCCCATACAAATAGAGAGAGTGTGGATTGGACTTGCTATTTTTAATCAAGTAAGCAGCAAGATGATAAGGCCCATCTATAACATATTTGAAGAAAGTGTTTTCTCTCGTTTTTGCTTTTGATTGAATCTATCCATGTTTCAGTCTAATGATAATTTACAGAAAATTCTTATGAAAAATAGACCGTTAGGTTGCTCAGGTTTTACATTTGACAGTCCTTAAAACAGTGGACCATCAAATTGAAAACTACAAATACTTTCTGACCAAAATTTATCCATAATTTTAAAGTGCAGAACAAATGAACCAGTGAAATAAGTAAATACTTACTTTTGTGGAATTGAAGAAATCAACAAGGAGCAAACCTACCCTGTGAACCTGCGCTATGTGCAGGCTGCCACCACCTGCCTGGGGGACAGCCAGACCCTAGTCTATTCCTGTGAGTTAGCGCCATTCATGCAGTGTAGGGGAATGGAACAACAAGCTAGGCCCCACTGCAGACCACTGCCCTGCACAGGCCACCGCTGCCAAGGGACAACCAGACCCCAGCCCCTTCCACTGGGTGGGCCGAGAAATGACGATAGCTGTTGAGGGGAAATGCAATTGGATGCTTGTGGTGTTTGGTGTTTCACTGAATTTGTAGGTCTAGGGCTGGTGGTTTGATAGTCTATTCAGAGGACCATGGTATACACTATGATGTCTAGGGGGGGGATTTCCTTCTGAGGATGGTAGCTGTTTTTAACTCTCTGTTATCTTGTTTTGAAGTCCTGCATCATTTTCATTGTTTTATTGGATTGAGTTTTATTCTGTTTTGTTTTGTTTGATTTTGTTATATTCAAAGATATGGGAAGCTGTTTCAAAGACAACAAGATACATTATGGTGGCCATTTTGAATTTACTGTTGTCTTGTTTTGAAGTCCTTCATTGCATTCATTGTTTTGTTTTTATTGGTTCTAGTCTGTTCTATTTTGCTTCATTTCTACTGTCTGAAGGTATTCACAGGTATTTTGAAGACAACGGGAGGCATTATGGTAACCATTGTTGATTTCGTATTGTTTTGAAGTCCTGTGTCATTTACACTGGTTTGTTATGATTGGCTTTGTTCTGTTTTAGTTTGCTTGTTTTTAATTCTCTTTTTTTAAAAAAAAGGGCTGGAGGTTTTAGTTCAGTGGCATAAGAGCCTGCTTGGCAAGTGCAAGGTTGTGAGTTTGATCCCTGGCACCCCCCCCAAAATAAATAAATTATTTATAGAGTTGATCTTTTGTTATATGGTACTATACAGATAAATAGAATTTTGTATCTGTTAGTCTAATATGTAGTATTTGCCCGTGAAATTCTTATTTTATACTTTTATTGAAGCAATTTAAGTGTGGAGCTTGGTGAATTTATGTATGTGTATGTAATCATATAATTATGATCCAATCAAGACAACTTTTGGAAGTAACCTTTGACCCTTTCCATCAGCATTTGCCCAAAAAGTAACCATTAGTTTCCTTTCTGTTACAGTAGATTACTTTTTCATGTTCTTGGAATTCATATAAATAACCTTCTATAGCATCTACTCTATATGTGGCTGAACTTATAAATACAGTTATATAGAACAAACTGGCTTCTGTTGTTCAACATCATATCTACTTGTTGCAAATGGCACTAATGGTTTTTCTGTATTCTAGTTAAAATATTCTGTTTATTGATGTATGTACTTTTGACTTATGTAACTACTGGCATAGATGAACGTATTTATTTTTACATATGGACTGTATAGTTACCTTTATTCTAAATTACTGCTAATGTTTTTCATTATCTTTCTATGCATCATGTTATCTTAAAGTAACAAAACTTTTCCCTTGCTGATTTTTATGCCTTTTTTTCCCATTGTTTTTTTTTATTTTTTTAAATTAAATAGGATTTCAAGTACAATTTTTTGTTTAAGATTACATTCTTGCTTGCTCATGAATTCAGTGGGAGACCAGTAATCATCTTTTAAGTATTATGTTAGCTGTGTTTTTGAAATAACCTCCATTAAAATACATTTTAAAATATATTAATAGGTATTAAATCTTATCTATCAACATGAGGTATACCCCCCTTCCCACACGGTTTAATACTGTGATCATTTATATAGATTGAGTTTAGAATGTTAAATCAACTTGCATTTTGGACCAAAACTCAGTTGATCACTATGTGTTTTGTATACTACTGACTTTGAATTGCTTGTTATTTTGCTTAGAAATTTTGTAGCTGCTTTGTTATCAAACTGTAATTTTCTGGTAATATTTTTATCAGGCTTTGTTATGAAAATAGGCCAGGTTTCATTGAATAGGTTGTAAAAAAAATTTTTTTTTAGTACGTAGGAAGACTATATATAAGAGTGTTACTATTTCATTAATGTTTGAAAGAATTCAACAATGAATGCATTTGGGCCTATTTTTTTCTTAGATTTAATTTCTCTCATAACTATAAAATTACAGATTTTTTTTTTGTTTCTTGTTTCAGTTTTGGGATTGTATTTTTTAGTTATATTGATTTCTACTAAATTCTCAAGTACAGTACTTTGAAATAATTTGAAGTACTTTGTTCTTTTATCCTTAGGGTTTTTTTTAAATGTCCATAGGCTTTCCTAGTTATAGCTTCCTTTTCATTCTTTGATTGTATTTTCTTTCTTGATCAGTCTTGTTAGGGATACCTAGTTTTTCAAAGAACTAACCTTTGCCTTTCTTTGTTTTCTGTGTTGTAGACCTACTTTCTACTTTATTGTTTGGTTATTTTAAAATGATTTTTTGTTTGCTCTTTCTTTGGATTAATTTATTATTTTTCTAGCTTCTTGGGATGGAATAACATTGATTTTAACTTGTTTCATTTCCAACAATAAGCATTTAGAATTAAAAATTTGGTCTACTGCTTTAACTGTGTTCCATACATTTTTATCCTTCATATTTCCATTCCGATAAAAATACTTTATAATTTTCATCTATTTTGATATGAATAACTCAAAATTGTGTTTCTTAATTTCTGAATGCTTAGAAAATTTCTAGTTACCTGTTAGTAACTGATTTTTAATGTAATTTGGTAGTAGTTGTCATAAGCAGAAGTCAAAGATGTATTGTAGCCATTTTAGCATCTTTTTGATAGTTCTGAAAGTCCATTAAAATGTGAGTCTTTCTCTTTGGACTTTTTTCTATTTTTTTAAAATAGAGCATATTTCATAATTTTTATTGGATACCAGATAATGTAGATGAAAATTTTTCAGTCTGGAGAATTTTTTTCCCTCTACTGAGGGTTAATGTTTCCCTGGCACTTTTGGTTCTATCAGGATGGGGTTGGAGGCTTCCTTAGAGTTTGTCTGCTGCTGTTTTGTCTTATTCTGAAGATGTCACTCCTCTGAGAGCTCAGGGTTTGGTCAATGCTCCTCCGGCTTGGTAGTCCTGCTTTGCCAACCCATCTCCTTAGTTGCATTGCTGGGTTGTCTACTTGACTTGTAGGTGGCATTTTATTTATTTTATTTTAATGAATTTTGCATCTTGGGCTGTGTACTTGTGATGATACTTGTTAATAATTTGAGGGGCATTTCCATGAAGACCTTCAGGTTTTTTCTCTATAGGCTTTTTTGGAAAACATTTTTTGTATGAAGATCATTTGATTCGATAACCTGAGCCTACAACTTCTACCTCCTCAGTTCTTTAAGGTTATAGTATTATCCTTGGGCATTATTTTTTCTTGATTTGGAAGAACCTTTTATATAAGAGAGACTAAATATGAGAGTCACCTCACTGGCTTTCCTCCTCTCAGAGGTTGTGGTACTGGCAGTGCCTCTTCTATTGGTTATTTTCTTGGACCTTCAGACACGAAATTTTATGTTTTGTGCAATAGTAGTAGTTCTTTCCTTGAGTGGCCTAGTTGGATGCAATCTGCTTCATAGTTTGGAACCAGAAATACACATTGCTTTATCCTGCAGTTTTACTAATAATGCTTATCATAGTTGCATAGGTATTGATGTAAAAATTACTGTTACAGATCTTTTTCAAGGTTCGAATTGTGCCAAAAAGATAAAATCATTTTTTATATGATTACTACCGTAAAAGTTAACTAGTTTTAAACCTTACTTTTGTGTTCTGTAGTAAAAGCAGTATTTAGCACATCAGAAAAGATTTCTCAAAACCAGACTGGAAATAAAAGATCAGTGCTTAGCCTCTTGAGTTCTTTTAACTGAACTTAAAATCAAACATTTTTTTCTGCTCTTTGTATTGTGTTCATTGGAAAATTTTATAGAAATGGAAATTCTTATCAGAATCTCTCATGTTTTTATCTCTAGGAAGATGAAGTCCTCAATGCATTCTGAAGAGGATGATTTTGTTCCAGAACTACATAGAAATGTTCACCCCCGAGAGCGGCCTGATTGGGAAGAAACACTTAGTGCGATGGTAAATCAGTTTTATTCATATTTATGTATGTATATGGTACATATGGATGTAAACTGAACTGAAGAATCATTACAGGAGAAAGTACAGTGTTTTTGGTTGCTTTATTCATTTATTCAGGAAATATTTATTGAGCAAGGTGGCAGGTAACTGTCTTCTCTCAGTGTAAGAGGATAGTCACTGTTACCAGGGCAGCCACTGATGGCCTCTGTGAGAAGGTGAGAGTTGAGTGAAGACCTGAAGCATATGAGGGAGCAGGTAGTGTGTGAATCAGTTTGTAAATAAGATTTAAATTGAACAGGGAGGGAGCAGGTAGTAGGAGCATATCATGTCAGGTAATGGAAGAACCAATTAAAGACTGTGGCATAGATGAAAAAGGAAGCTTGGAGAAACACAAATAGACAATGTGGCTGAAATTAAGAGAGGTGGAGGAATGTCAGGAGACAAGGTCACAGAAGTGGTTTGGGTGGGTGGAGGTCAATCCTCAGTTTCTTATAGTCCACTGATAGTGACTTTGGTTTTTTATGTCGAGGGGATGGAAACCATTAGAGGATTTCTGGCTAGGGAGTACCATGATCTCTCTTGACATTTTAATGAAAACCTTCGGTTTCTGTAAGTAGAGGGAGGCTAAAGAAAGTAGGAGGCCATTCTGCTAGACTAAGTGAACAGTGGTGGTAACTTGGACTAAAATGCTGGCACCTATGGTGAAATTTGGTTTAGATTCTGGATACAGTTTTACAGATAAAGCCAGTTGATTTTGCTGATAAATGTGAGCAAAGAGCATGAGAAAAAGAGATGCCAAGGATGACTTCAAGTTTCCTGGAATGTTCACCCTGAAGACTGGAATATATATTTACTGACTTGTTGGAAAAATAATTTTTGTTGAAGGACAGATTGAAAAATGAACAGTTGAGTTTTCTACAAGATATGTTTGAAACTCATTTATTAAATCTTCTTGTAATTTAGATCTACTAATAAGAACAATGAAATTATTTTTTGTGGGAGATATCGTTTAACTTAATTGCTGGGCGAGATGGTGCATGTCTGTAATCCCAGCACTCGGGAGACTGAGGCGGGACGATCGTTCTGAGTTCGAGACCATCCTGTGCTACAAAGTGAGTTTAAGGCCAGCCTTACCTATATATGAGACTCTGTCTCAAAAAAACCAACAAACAACGACAAAAAACATATACACAAAACCAAAAAGCCAAAAACATTTAGCTTAATTGTGGTTCAAATCATCAGAATTTAATATAGAATTAATAATAATATAGAATAGTATTCCTATCATCAGAATTTAATAAAATGTTCATGTGTCATTGCTGACCCATGAGATTGTACATACTTTATCTTCGAAAATACCTTTTCATTCAGACAGGTTCTACAAATACCCGTATCAGTTTGTAAATAAGATTTAAATTGAGCATATTCATCACTTGGCATGTAGAGAGTTACTTTTTTTTTTGCATTTTTTTTTAACCTCTTAGCATTTCATTGTATTACAGATTTACAGCTTTTAATTGAAACTCCTCAGTTGCACAGTGAAAGGATGTTCAAAATGTGGGAATTCATTTTGCACTGGACAGTATGGTTTGGAACACCTCTACTAGGCCTATAGTTTGAACTTGGAAAACATAGTCAGTACAAATTTGTGTGGCAACAAAATTCTCACTTCTCCTTTTAATGTTTGGTTCCTTAGGAAGTACTTGGGATTTTAAGAATGCTAGTTATTATTCCAGTGACATTATCACAGTGTTTCTTACATACGGTTTTGTTTCTTTGGTTCTGGGGATCGAACTCATGACTGCACACTTGCAAGGCAGGCACTTATGCTGCTGAGCTAAATCCCCAGCCATACATATGCTATTTTGTCTTGTAATTTTAAGTTAAATTCATTAATCATTAAAGCTGCATTAAAAACTAGTTATCAAAGCAATTTAGTGTTTTGTTGTAGAAGTAGAAAATATGTCCAGCCCAGCCCTTGTCTGCTTTACACATATTTTTTCCAAAATGACTTACGATTTGGTTTAGTAGATTCTACATCAAGTTATACTGAATTAATGTTTAGCCAAGTTACTTGTTAATATTATTTCCTGTATATTGTCTCATGCATAATGTTCTCAGGGGCTAATTCTTCAGCCACTTCTAATTCTGCATTAACTCCTCAATAGCATCTGAGCATATGTACGTTTGCTGACTTAAAAAGAGTTGAGTCATGAAGGACAACCACTTGAAATCATTGCATGCATAGGCGTCTGTGAGCCCTCACTGCAAATCAAATGCAAGGCCTTGCATGTGTTGTCAGGTGCTCTACCACTTATCCGTGTCCTCAGGCATTCGCTTTGTGTTTTTAGTTGCTGTAGATGTTGCTGCATGTCTTTAATTTTTCAAGCAAAGGTTTTCACCAAGATACACATGATAGACTTAGGCCAGGTTATTTCTTCTGGACACATTTCTTTGGCTGCTGCAGTCAAATATAATTTAATTGACTTACCATTAGTAAATGACTTTCCTTCCTTGGCAAACAAAAGAGCTACTTAGAAATTTAGTTAGATTGCAATCTTGTTATTATTTTGTATTCTTCATGGTGATACACTCTGAGAATTCCTGAATTTCTTAGAGTGTTGCTTTCCTGTGAGTTGAGACTACTTTGATGAGTGCATAGTTTGGTAATGTTGATATATAAACTATTCTGTTATTACTGTTTTAGTGTCAGTGCATCATAAACATAATATTTTGCCATCTAATTTATGATAGTTGACATTGTTCGGTTCCATAAAGGCACAGCATTAATTCTTACTTTTTGTTTTTACATGATACATATACATTGGGCACGCTTTTTTTTTCTTTCCTTTCTTTCATCTTTTTTTTTTTTTACTGGGATGGAACCCAGGACCTTGTACTTGTTAGGCAAATACTCTACTATTGAGCTACATCCCCAGTCCATGCACTGGTAATTTTTAAAAACAAATGTGGCATAGCAATATACATGGGAATTGGAATGCTGTTGAGTTATGGTGCTGTCATCGATGGTGTGCCAAGCAGCAGTATGAGCTGATGAGAGTCTGTTTTGCACCTCCAGCTGGGCCCCATGAAAGTACATTATGAGCGTCAGTGGATTAGTGAGTGTAGTGTCCCTATGGTCCAGTACTGTCCAAGAGTCTGTTAAACAGGTTGACTGTTAACCAATCATACAAAATTGAAATCTATTTTTTAAAAAAATACAGTGATAAAATGTTTCTAAATTATGAAAAGTAAGTTCATTTGCAGTTATTCAACATTAATGTAATTTACTAATTACGTTAATGTCTTTGAAATAGTAAGATACAAAAATGTGAAAATGTCAAATTCTTTCACCACTTGTGAATATTTGAGTTGAAATCATTTTGATCATCGTGTCTCTGTTTCTCCATTTCAGTGGCATCACATTATTACATTACATTACATTTGTCATCACATCATTACATTAACATTTGTGCATTTATTTTATTTTCAGTATTGGAAATGATATAATATAACTAAACTACACAATGTATGTACCCATTGGTATTTGTAAAAAGTCAGTATGGTGGCACATGTGGAATTGAAATGCTGCTGAATTATGGTTTAATACTGCAGTTGATAGCATGCTGAGCCATGTGTGAACTGATGAGAGTGCCATTTTATTTTTCTCAGATAGATGCTTGCTCATCTCAGCTTCTCTTGTAGAAGTAGTTCTTCATTTAGTTTCCTTTTTGTCACTAACATTGATATATGGTCAGATACTAGCAGATCATACTGGAGAAAAAATTATTGTTTTTTAAAATTTTATTTAAAGAGAAAAAAAAACTAGCAAAACAGAAAAAAGGGTATTTGTTACAAGTAAGATAGTTTCAGTGTAATTTATCTTAAAAGCTGAAGTCTCTCCTCACTTGATCATTTTGTTCCAGTCACCTTTACTTTTTTAGGACTGCTCATGTAGGCCAGCATTTTCCCGCCCCAGGGCCTGGGATATGTGTTCTTTTGCCTACTGTGTGCTGTTGCCAGGCTGTTAGTTGTAATAATCATACTAACGGTACATGCTAATAATTTTTCCCAAACTGTCTTTTGCTTTTTGAGATAGAATCTTTTTGTAGTTCATCCTGGCTTTCAGTTGACTATAATAGCCCATGTTGGCCTCAAACTCATAGTAATCTTCCTGTCTCAGCCTCCCTAGTATAGGGATTTCAGGAGTGGGGAAGCCACTACACCTAGCTTTCCAGTTTGCCTTAAACATTGTTTCTGGATAATTTTTCCATGTTCTTACTGGTTTCTCTGAAGAGACATTTTCTACAGGAAATGAACCCTAAGGCAGCTCTTTTAGTGCAAAAAAGGTTATTTTATAATCAGTGTCAGAAGTCATGTTTGCTTGTTTGTTCTTATGCTCTTACCTTTTAAAAAAATCTTTTGTTTATTGTGCTGTGGATTGAGCTCAGGATTCTGAGTGTACTAAGCAAGCAGAGCTGTGTCCTCAGCCCTTTAGACATTTTATATTGAGACAAGGTCTTGGCCAGGCTTCTCAGACTGGCTTTGAATTTGTTATCCTCCTACCTCAGCCTCCAGAATAACTGGAATAGTGGGTGTGTGTTACCACACCCAACTTGGTCACACTCTGTTGTTCATAGTCAAAATACAGAAATTAATAGAAATAACTTTATAGTTTATTTGTGCACTTTGTGGGTTATCTGATTCTCAGCCACATGCTCTGACCCCTGTTTCTGGTTTTTAGCTCTTCACATTGGAGAGGCTCCCCTGCCCATTAAAAGGGGTGTTCCTGAGCCAGGGTATAGTGTCCAGAGGTTAACGCATTAGGATAACATCCCCTGTACCACAATTTTTAGCACACATGGAATTTTTATTTATTTGAAGAATTTGTTAGTAATATTACTACCCTTGTTGTAAAAAATGAGGCAAGTCAGTAATGTTGACAAGAATTATAAGAGAGAAGTGTAGGCAGCATTCCGAGAGAACCATTTAGAAAATAT